TTAGTCATTATTCTATATAACATGCACTTAAATAGCAACAAAACAGTCGAATTTAGTCTGTTGTTTACTGCAAGTGATCTTTCCACAACCTTGCTACAAATTTCACAAAAAACCCGCACCTCTATACCAAGGAGAAGGAAATTCTCCTATCTTCGTCGTTGTACCGTTCTGTACTCTTTTTGCTTAATTACGCCCTTCCCCCTTCTTCTTCCCCTCGAAAAAAGAGGAAAGCTGACCCACTGGCTTTGCCATCTCCTCTGACGCACTGAACTGCCGCAGAGAGTATCATGTGTTATTATGATTGTAAAAAGTGAATTTTGTAATGCTGCTGTTGAGTTAAAAAAGATAATAAAAAACCAAATGTTAACGAGATACGAAAACTTGAAGATACTTTATTTAAGATCGAAATTGCATCTGCTATTTATACTTTTTACAAGTACACAAGAACACAGCAAAATAAACACAATCCAGCGAGGAATAGAGTGTATAAATGCTTTGTTTGGTTTTGTAATTCCCATTCAAGTTTCCAATTTTTGAGAAGTCGGCGTTAAATTAAGTATATCTCATTTTCAATAACTAGTTAAAAATATATAGAAGCTTTAGAAAACTATAAAAAAAATATTTGCGTATGCAACAAAGCGTGAAATAAATGGTCATGTATTTTGATTTGAAATAAGAGCTCTTTCAGCAGAGTAAATCATGTTGAAAGTCGGGCGAAATAGCTTAAATCAACCAAATTAGGAGATTCGAAATCCAAAAAAGGCGATTTTTTAGCTGTATACTCCGTTCTAATTAATAATATGTTTAATTAATAATATGCTAAATTTATGGTGACTTATTTAAATTACTAATTGAAAAGGCTAATTCACAGTGACAATCTACTTGACAGGGTACGATATGAGGTTATACAGCAAAAAGGCTATACACGTCTTTGATCTGACAGAGCCTTAACCTTTATCCTGGTGCTCAGATCTGTGTTAGTTACAGGAATAACCTTCTTGATTTGAAACAGAGACTTTATTCTCCAATTTACACAAACGTATCGCATCACATCATTGGACAATCTTCAATCTTCAATTGAAGCACATTTCCATGATCTCCTGTTGTTATGTACAATTATGGCAGATCACTTATTAATTTTAGACGAATACTGTTTATAATTATAATACTAGGGTGACCCAAGCTATCTCACCGTTTTCTGAAGCCTTTGCCTCTTTTTGAATTGCCGGGCTGGCACTGAGGGTCGGAAACCCCGCTGCTTGTTCGCATTGTGCTGGAGCACTAACTTGGAGACGATCAATTTAGCCAATTTTCTGATATTTAGAAAGTGTCGCTTTGCTAGAGTGGTTAATAGGTTAGCCTGCTAAGCTAATGCTCTTTGAGCGCGCAGGTTCGAATCCTGCAGGCGACGCATATTTTTGTCTCTTTGACACAAAGAGTAGTGCATGTAGCTGTTATCAGTTAACTGACTTTGTGTAAAAAGATCAGTTAAAATGCCAAGTCAAGCAGGTGTCGTGATAATTGTAAATTCAATAAGGCAAATATATGTATCAGTTAAAAGATAAGGTTTATTCAATTTGACATAAGATCTACTATTTATATTGTTTTGAGTTGAGTGTCAAAACTAATGTACGACACAGGTATCTCGCTTATTTCTACATTTTAGCAGATGCATCTTTACAGATGATAGATCATTATTACTTTCCTCCCATTTCAACCATTAATCACTACAAAATAACGACTCGTCATTGATGATAAAAACTTTGACGAAACTTTACTCAAGATAAATATGTACGCTGAAGAATGTCTCGAGACACAAAATAAAGATTCTCTAATTCTTTTTTATTTGTCATGCCACTATGGCCCTATGGGTGTTCTCAGAGAGCAGCTTCGGGCTCATGTGAGACGGCTTTTGCGCGCATGAGACGGTGTATGCGCTCAAATGAGACG